AATTTTCTTTAATTATTATTATTCTTATGAATATTAGTTATATTATTTTAAGTTGCTGAATAAATAGATATATTAAGGGGTCGAATACTTCATTTCGCCTGCGGTATGTCTCCTAATAGCGTTTTATAGTTTTTGGACCCTATTAATAATCTGTTCATTTACTGAAGTCGGTTATTAGGTACTTATAGTTTTATTCACAAAAGAGTTAGAAAAAAATGATATTAAGGTAGATATTTATTACGAATGCGTAGAGCTGTCATACCAAAATTAATCAATATTTTTAGCAAATTTAACAGTTTTCTGTAAATTCAAAATTTACAATTTTTCTGCAAATTTATGTTTGCTGTAAATTTACACTTTTTCTATAAATTTCCACTTTTTTTTGTAAATTATCTACAGTTTTTCTGTAAATTCAAAATTTAAAAATTTTCTGCAAAATTTAGCAATTACTAATTAATTTTTTATTATTTTTAGAAAATCTGTAAATTACACATATGCTGTAAATTTATTTTTTTTCTGTAAGTTTATATTTTTTCTGTAAATTTACACTTTTCTGTAAATATACACTTTTTTTTGTAAATTTACACTTTTTTGTAAATTTACACCTTTTTACGTAAATTTACACTTTTTTGTAAATGTACACTTTTTTTTTGTAAATTTACACTTTTTTTTGTAAATTTACATAAAAAGGTGTAAATTTACAGAAAAAGTGTAAATTTACAAAAAAAGCGTAAATTTACATAAAAGGTGTAAATTTACAGCAAGTGTATATTTACAGAAAAAGTGTAAATTTACAAAAAAAGTGTAAATTTAGAGAAAAAAGTGTTTTAACACTTTTTTCTGTAAATTCTGTAAAAAAAAGTTTTAACATTTTAGACTTTTCCTGAAAATTCAAAATTTACAATTTTTCTGCAAATTTACATATTTGATTTGTAAATCTACCCTTTTTTGTAAATTTACACTTTTCTGTAAATTTACACTTTTTTTGTAAATTTACACTTTTTCTGTAAATTTACACTTTTTCTGTAAATTTGCACTTTTTCTGTAAACTTACACTTTTTTTGTAAATTTACTTTTTCTGTAGATTTACACTTTTTTTGTAAATTTACCCTTTTTCTGTAAATATACACTTCTTTTTTGTAAATTTACCCATTTTCTGAAAATTTACATATTTGCTTTGTAAATTTTTAATTTTTCTGTAAATTTACACTTTTTTTCTAAATTTAAACTTTTTCTGTAAATTTACACTTTTTTTGTAAATTACAGTTTTACTCTTTCTGTATATTGGATGAAAAATATACTATACTGCAAGACGACGCGCTACGTCTCGGCATCGACATCAGTAGTTAAAAGGTAGCTTTGTTGACTGAGGGATAATTTGCCATTGTGCCCACGAAGTATAGATATTCATCAGATATTATGGACGAATACAGCGGTATATTATCCAGTGGTTGATTAACTATTAATCGTTAGTTTAAACATCTTTAGGGATTTATATTGATAAATTAATCAAAACAATTGTTTATATTACCAAAAATTCTGCAAACTTACATCAAAAGTGTAATTTTACAGAAAAAGTGTAAATTTTGCTAAGAACATTTTTCAATGTTGCGATGGCAGCTCTACGCTTTCGTAATTTATAGATTATCTGCATTGATATCAAAATTTTCAAACTTCTGATGTCTTAAAATATAAGCAAATCACCTTCTATCTATCTTTACCTTACTTTTAACATTATATCTGAAGAAACGCAAAAGAAAATAAATAATCGACTACATTGTAGTGGTATTTTGTAAGTGTATAGGGTCACACGTAAGTGGAATTTCTAACTACACAATTATGTTCATTTTATGAATGAAAGTACTTACAGTATATCACACACCTGGTTAAGTCGTACTAAAATTGCTTTTAAATTTCTTGATCATAAGTTGTAGGAGTTGCCGCAGAGTTCTTACGCCGAAGAAGGGTGTATGTTTGTTTGAAGAGTCTGCTTGATTAAATATTTTATTATATAATTCATTATTTACAAGTGAGAGTACTTACAATGAAGATTTAACACGCAACGATTTTTATTCCTCTTTTGCTTTCGAACAATGATTTTACAGAACTCTGCAACTTTTTGTTTAAACGGAAATATCTAGGAACCCTTCAAAATGCGATGAAATTTAAGAAAGATTTATATGATATTCACAAAAGTTAAAAAACATGATCTTATGTATTTTGTTGCGAAACTCACAAAGATAAAAGTTATATTATCTAGTGGTTGATTAACTATTAATCGTTAGTTTAAACAATATCTTTAGGAATTTATATTGATAAACTATTATTTCTCAATTTATAAATAATCTATAATATATAATATGACTGATTATTTTATGTACCAGGTCGTCTGCTTATATATTTCACTTACTTTAATAAGAAAATAAAATTGAAAACATAATAATGTGTCTTATAATGTAAAATTTTTAACTTTTCGACACTGTAATATTTTTTTAGAAACTTCAACTGGTGTGTCGTATATATTTTTTTAACAAATTTTCTACAGACTCAAAAAAGATTCTTTATTGTATTAATATTGTTTATTTTTTTAAATACGTACGTTTTAATAATCGATTTTAAAGACTAACGGAATAAAAGTATCTTTTTATTTTATCGTTTATATTTCAGCAACAAAATATTAGATCATGATCTGTTATAATTTGCAAAATCAATATATTTTAGTAACCGGGCGCAATATAATGGAACCTAAATTAATTTTAAGAGTGTAATTGGTATCTACAATATAGCAAGTGGCACTAATAAAGATAAGATTGTTACCAAGATACATGCCTCTCGTCTCATTACTTCGTTGTCCGATTATTCCTACAATGTAGACCATACGGTCTACAAAGTACTACATATTAGAAAAAAGTATAAACTCTATTTCATAATCCTTTCATAATTATGATAGTAGCGTGGTATCAACTTAATGATTGTTTCTTTGTACTAGTAAATATAAATCCTAATTTAGAATCTTTATCATCAATACTCCCTGAATACTTCTCACATCTTGCACTGAAGCCACAATAATTTATGGAACCGCAATCCTTAAATTTTATGTATTTATAATTTCTTAACTAATAGCACCTTAGGGCAACTCTTAAATTTGTATTAAACAATTTATAGTTCCAATCCATTGTGTGTGACAAATAAAGGTGAATCATAGCTAAATGTGTTATGATAACATTGAAAAGAAAATAATTTTATTTTACTGGATTTTTCTTTTTTATATTGGTAACAATCTTATCGCGCACCACAAGGAGTGTGTTATTGGCTAGTACATTGCATTGGTTTGCATTACGTAAGTTAAATATATACTTCACCTAAAAATTATCTACTACTGTACGAGTATAGAGTTTAGTTGGGCTGTGTTGGTGTTATAAGTAGTCAAAGGACGCGTTAATAAAATAGTTCTATCTGGATTATTTAATGTAATTTTAAGTACTGATATGAGATGGTCAAGAAATCCAGCTGTTATTTAACAGGCTGTAGTTCTGTTTGATTTAAGAACAGCTGACGCGTTCTCTGACTAACTGAAGAATATTTCACGTTGATTTCACCCAAATTCCACACTTGATTATCGCGTGTTACTTGCGTTTTGCCAAAAAGACACTGTTGAGCAACGACAACACGTTTAAGAGGCCAAGAGCTACAATTTTTACGTAGCATAGATAAATACATATACAGAATCTACCCACAGAGAAGAAAAATATAGCTGAAAAGACATCACAGAAAAATCAAATCATTTAAGGCAATTTTGATATATTTTAGTCGATTTAAAGGATCTTTTTTTATCAGTTCATTTTTCTTTAGTAATTTTCATCAAAGAAAAAAAAAATCTTCTTAAAATTAATCCTTCGGTCTTTTTAAATTGTTGTTGGTTACTTAAAGGCCCCTTAAGAGGATTGGTCTTAAGCTTTCCCTTTGATTTTCGTTCTAAGTTATGATATAATATTGTTAAATTTATTTTTAAATTTTTATTGAAGATTAACAGATTATATAATGGTTATTCAATATTACTTCGGCAATCAACGGCACGAAAAACGGGAAACTTAAAATTTTGATGTATTTTAAAGTTTTGTATATTGTGTTCTAGTGGACCGATTTTGAATATTTTTAAGCAATTTGTAGCTAAATTATTTGACTTTTTAGTTTCTCTTTCTTCCATCTGTCAATTATACAGGGGAAAACAAAATGTTGATATTTTTGTGAAAGTTTGAAACACCCTGTGGAGCACGTTAAAAAAGCAAGGAATTTAAAAATATTAATTTTTTAGGTGTATCTTTTCTCCATAGTTTGCTTTTTGGTTAATTTCAATAACTTTTTTTTGAAGATATTCGCTTTTGAAGAAGACAATAATATTTTTTCGTATTTTTTACATTAAAACAATGTCCCTGCTTTTGGTCCTACTCAACAAACCTATAAAATAGTGTTTATGATTTATGTAATGACACTGCCTTTGAAACATCAATGAATTAAGTCAGCAATATCTCTTATCTCTTAAAACTTAACAACCATCTCTACTAGAGTTAACGCCAATAGACAATAATAATATGACTTTTTAATGATACTAACCTGACATAAATAATAAACTCTATTTTATAAGTGTGTTGATAAAGATCCAAAAGCAAAAGTATGCTTTAAATGCTAAAATTGCTGTAAATCGTCACTGTCTTATTCAAGAGCGAATATCTCTAATAAAAATAAAGCTATTGAGATGAATTAAAAAACAAATTATCGAGAAAAGACGTACCTAGAAGATAAAATTATTCTTAAATTCCTTACTTTGTTAATTATTTCACAGGGTGTTTTCAAACTTTTACCAAAATATTAACATTTTGTTTTCGCTCGTATAATTGACAGATGGAAAATTTAGTTTTTAATTTAGGAAAAGGTACTAAAAATTCAAATAATTTAGCTACAAATTGTTCAAAAAATCATCAAAATCGGTCCACTAGAACAAAATATATTAAACTTTAAAATATATCCATATTTTAAGGTGCCCGTTTTTCGTACCGGTGAGTGTATAAGTTAATTATACAATAAAATAAAAAAAATACTTAAAGATCTATAATAATTATGGGCATTATGTTTCATTTTACAGAGTTAACAAAGCCTCTATTATGGTCATTATAAAAGAGCCATCATTTTCTTTCTGTGATGTCCATTGAAAATGTGTTTTTAGAACAGACGAATGAAGTAAAAGAAGTTTTGCATTTCCCGCCATATACCTGATAAATTATTTACATTGTATAATTTCTTTGAAACAATATAAATTTCGAATACATGTATGATTTCAAAATATGTACATGACCTAAGTTATACTTATTATTGTCTTAAAATTATTGTAAATATATCTTAAATGAGTTTAATATGATGAATTTTACCTGGGTGTCTTTTAAAAATGTTACTTTCTCTATTTTTCGCATTATTTTTTATTTTAGTTAAGTAAAAAAGCTTGAAATGAAAAACTGCAAAGTTTAGTTTGTAGAAGATTAATTGCCCTTGAAAATTTTCAGACTTTAATAGAAAAATGCGGTATAGCTAAAAAGCCTATTCATTAGCTTACCATATAATCTTGAGAAAAAGAACCCGATAACCCAATATTTAACGAAGAATTTATCGATAAGGGGAGAATTTTCGTTAGAATTTTTTAATTTAGGCGAGACTTCAAAGAACTATCCCGCATATTTGTTGAGCTAGAAAAATTCCTTATTAAATTTTTCCGCCGCGTCGAAATTTCAATGGCAAAATAGATTTGCTCTGGGAAATGCAAAACTTGCGAAAATCCATTTTATAGGTAAAATAGTTGAGATTTGAAGCGGTGCGAACTACTGACGGAAAATAATTTTGCCGTCGGAGAAAAATTTCCGGGAAAATGTTTAAAATGATGTGTTAATTAAAATTGTTGGAAACTTTTTGTCAAATGATTAAAATTCGACATCTAAAATTAATTAGACGTGATAAATTAGTTCTGGTTTCGTTTTATTCTGTATTATGAATATGGGTTTTCGATATTATTTAGCTACAGATATGGTTTGTTATGTTTTAGGTTAAATGTTGTTAAATCATTTGTTAAGAAATAGCAAAGTTCTCAAAAAGAACTTCTTGAAATCCTTTAAGTTTTATCATAGGAGATTTTACAAATCAAACTCAAGACATTTTGTTAATATTTTTTCTCAAACATCACAAAAGTATGACTTTTTTCGACGTGATTGACATTATAAAAAGATCATTTTAACGCCTAGGCATAAAGTAAAGCACTTTTACGCATAAGAACAAAAGTACAAAAATATATTATTAAACTGACATAGTATCGAATTCAATTAGTGTATTCATTTGTGTTGTTCGATATATAATTACTTACAAGGTAATACTTTTTATATTACTTGCGACTTTTGAAATTGTTTACAAAATTATTTGTGACGTTTGAAAAACAACTGCATGTTCTATTCGGAGTAAAAATGTACTTTTGTGCCTTGCCTGTAAAAGTATCATATTTACTCCTAATAAAACAATATACTATTGTCTACAATTAGCAGATGATTAAACATTTAGTAGTAGACAGAGTATATTCAAGTTAATTATCAATGCTAACATAGTTAACAAAATGTAAATACAGACTGTTTTAATGTATTTTTGATTTATTTTTTTAGTAAAAAAGTTCATTATAATTCACTTTAAATATTTTATTGCAAGACAGCCCAATATTTATTTGATATTTCTCAACAACTGTGATACTTTAACAAGAAAAGATCATAGAATCACAAAGAGATAAAGCCAACAACAGATATCAACAAACAATATTTAACAATTATTTAAAGTTTCATGCTACAGTAGAAGAACAATCAAAGCCTGAAAAACATCGATAATAAAACATTAATACTGATTGGGAGAAATCTTGTAACTAATGTTTGAAAATTTTATTTTGATTGAGAAGATACAGAAATTTTTCAACAAACTGTTTAGTTATTTACAATAAATTTACAATCATTTATTAAGTCTTAAAACAAGCCCATTCAAAGATATTCTACGTAAGGAATATAATAATAAAATCCATCAGTTATAATTAATACACAATTTTGCAATGTACCATTGACATATCTTAATTATTCAATATTAATAAAATACAAATATATCGTCATTTCGTAAAAAAGTCTTTGAATGAGCTAATAATAAATTATATAAAAATGTATGCTATGTACAGTAAATACATCTTTTGTCATATCGTTATTATATAATAATTTAGTCAATTACTCCCAATCAAAATTCAATCAATAATAGTGTCATAGAATGTCAACAAGCATTAATACAATATTACGAATTATAGAGTTTGATAATAAAAAAATACAGCCATAAAAACCATAGAGAAAAGTAATACTACATTATTTTATATATTTGAGGTGGTATTAGTATTTCAAATTTTAAAAGATGTATTTTAAATAACTACTAATGATATAAAATTTAGTCTTATCGAGAATTTACTTTGAACTTCAAGTTCTGCTATTGTTTTACTATAATATAAAATACAATTTAGGTTAAAAGCATTAGTGTTACAAGAGAAAATGACACATATCAATCGAAACACACAAAATGACAATTTTTCTGATTATTATGCTCTAGCAGCAGTTGATTAAAATTTCTTTTAGTTATCATTTAATTGTAAAGTTAGATTTTTAAAAAAGTGTTCTGGTGTGTCATAGTAAGCTTGGGTTTATATGAATAATCTTAAAAAATCTAAGTTGTTCAAATGAACGACAATCCTACATACATTATAAAAATTATTAAAATCTGTATACTTTTTTCAGAAAGCGTATTGAAAATGGCTGTTATTTTTTTATTATCAAATCAACGAAAATCATTACAATACAGAAAACAATCAGCGATAGCCACAAAAGGAATTTGGATGACTAATCTCGGCGTTTCTATAGGAAAAACGGGTGAAAGAAAGATTTTCGAAAATTTTCTCGAGAAAATCAAACATTCGTCTCCAGAATATTCATTCGTCCATATATTATATCGTTAATTTTTATTAAAAAAATATCGAAACACAAATTCCGCGAATTTTTTTACTAGTTTTTTTTATCATTTATCCTTTTTCTTATTCTGTGTATTTTTTTAAAATTCATTTTGGCGATACAAAAAAATAGGTTTAGACTACTATGTTTTTTATCTAGCTACAAAAATGGTAACAATAAGTTTTTTAAATCTACCACAAAATTACTATGAGGAGCCAACCAAAGGCTCGTCATAATAGTTTTGATATTTTTGTTTATCGCAGTCTCTTTTTGTGGTTTTTCGAGGGAATCGGATGGGGAGGGGATCTAAGGAGTAATGGGGTGGGGATTTTAGGGCCTAAACCCGCTGTTGCCACATTTCTCGCTAAACGAAAGCGAGAAGCTCTTTCTAGCGTTTGCTACTCGTGCTGGGCGCCGTCTAACAAGAAAAGGCATATTTCTAGCCTCTGTTCGAAGCTCTCAATTGAAAAAAATGAGAAACGACTAAAGTGCCATCGCCGTGAATCACCCTTTTTATGTGTTTACACAGGATAGTTTGCACATGGTGTTTTTTAAGATATTGAAATATACATTTCTTTCTTTGAATGTCTGTCAACTATTTAAGAATTACTTCGAACACAAGCTACGATACCCTATTCCTTTCGAACGCCCATCACTAGAGTCACTACTATTTTATTTTTTTTTGTTCATTTTACCGTTAAGTAAATAACATCACAGGTGTCACTTTCTACCAACTAAAATAACAAATTATCATTTTTATGTACTTTATATATGTATATCAATTTATTCTAAGGTGACGGAGGGGGCGGTAGCGGCACACCCCCCTTCTTTTTTTTGCGTGTGAGTGTTGGGAGTGGGGGTGGGGGGCGAGGGGGACATCCCCCTAAGGCCCGGCGCCACTGGATGTCTCGCTCTCTCTCTATCGCTCATAAGGATCGTCGACTTATTGCATCACGCATTTACTCTCTATTTGGGAGCGCAGCTCGTTAACGCTCGTTTCTATTGTGTTCTTGAGTTCTGAAAAAGAGGGACAGACACATATGTACACATGTAAGTAGAGCGAGAAGAATAAAGTGGGGTTGGGGAATAGAGAAAACATGGTCGGGGGCGTAGAAAAAAAATAATTGACTTCTGTATACATTTTTTTGCGTTTACTGTAAAAAATCTAGTATGCTATCGTTCCATACATTAACTTTTATTATAATTATTAATTTACGCATGTTTAAAAAGCATTTTTGTAATGTTCCCGTGACAATTCATCTGACAATTTGAACATGGCATATCAATTTTTTCACCGCTATAACTTTTTTATTTTTTTTTGATAAAAAAAAACAAATTTGGTATGTTAGTATATGATATAAATTATAAATTAGGATTGATTGAGGATTTGACACCTTCGGCATATTTTTACTTTATTCGATAGAAAATGACGCTCTGAATAGAATGACATATCATATGTCAACTTTTGACATTTTTGTTTAAAAAAATCGTATTTTAAATTTCAATCTAGAGTGCCAGATGGCTCTAATTTTTAATCAAGGAGCCTTGGAAAGATTTGATCGTCTAATGTTTTTCGTGTATTGTCCTGGCCGGTTAAAAGATGCGAAAATCGTATTTTTAATCGTATCTCAATTTTTCCAAACTTCTTTACGAATAATTTGGTAATACACACTTGGTATTTCGAGTCAAATTGTTATAAACTGCATATTACAATTTCAAATAAATCATATGCAAAAATATTAACAGTTGATATATGATATGTCATTCTATTCACAGTGTCATTTTCTATGGAATAAAGTAAAAAAATACCGAGGGTGTCATTTAAAAATCAAAATCTTTAGTCATTTCCTTTGAAACAGGAAGTGACCAAAAACAATAAAATACGTCAATCAATCCTGATTTTTATCATATACTAACATACCAAATCCCGATTTTTTATCTGAAAATGTAGGTATACTTGGTAATAAAAAAACTGAATTTTGTAAAAATTTTCCCGGATATTGTACAAGGTGTCTCATTTTCGTGCGTTTTACTGGTTTCTCGTTTATGAGTAAAGATACAAAAATGCAGTTTCCACATTATTATGCTATTTTTCCATGAAACTAAACACGCTATGCACATATTTGTCCTAGCCCTCTTAGTTCCCGAAATACAGGGTAAATATGAAATAAAATTGTTGCATTTTTCGACTGCCCTCGTATCTCGATTCTCTTATCACTTATAGAAAAAGTGAAAACTGAGTCCCATAGAGTTTTTCGCGTAGAATTCATTGGCTTAACTAGATTTTTGCTGGTTGCTGTCATTCTTGAAATATGACTCAAAATTATGTTTTTCAAATTGGATATCCTGTATATTATTTTTCATTTTATTTGCCTTGTTGTGAGTTTTCTAATATAGTCTATAGTATACTATATTTTCATAAGCAAAGCAAAAAATGCGTTATTTAACTTTTTTTAAAATAGGCGACCGGCTTAATTTTTTGGTTATTGGCTATTCCACACTAGTTTCTGTGTGCAAAATTTTTGCACAAGTGCATCAAAAATATCATTAACTCTGATTGAGATCCCCGTGTTATCTAAAAGTTACACAAGTTCATTTTTAGTACAGTTTTTTAATATAATACGATGAAAAGCAATATCATCTCTCTGATTCAATTAAATTAAATAGAATAGTACTCTGTTAAACTAGGTTGATTTATATTAAATAATGTATCTTCTTATTATACCGGGTGGCATATTACATAGTCTTACTTACCGGGTGGCATATTCTTCTCAAAAGGGACTCACCCCTATAACTTTTTTATTTTTTGAGATATAAAAACGAGATTTGGTATGTTAGTATACCACATAAATTAGGATTGATTGACGTATACAATTGATATTGGTCACTTCCTGTTTTACCGGAAATGGCTACAACTTTTGATTTTTAAATGGCACCCTCGGTATTTTTTTACTTTATTTGATAGAAAATGACATTCTGAATAGAATGACATATCATATGTCAACTTTTGATATTTTTGCTTAACAAAAAATCTTATTTTAAATTTCAATCTAGTGCCATGGCTATGTTAAAAATTTAATTCTTAATCAAGGAGCCTTAGAAAAATAGATTTGATCGTCTAATGTTTTTAGTGCCTTGTCCTGGCCGGTTAAAAGATGGCCAAATCGTATTTTTAATCATATCTCATTTTTTCAAATGGAACGAGGGTGGCTCATTAGCATATTTGGAAAAAGCATTTTTTTAAGAATAATTTGATACCACACACTTGGTATTTGGAGTCAAATTTTCGTTATGAACCGCAAGTTATAATTTCAAATAAACTATATACGAAAATGTCATATGAATATAAATGTCATATAAATAAAAAAGATGACATATGATATGTCATTCTATTTTCTATCGAATAAAGTAAAAAATACCTAGGGTGCCATTTAAAAATCAAAAGTTGTAGTCATTTCCAGTGAAACCGGAAGTGACCGAAAACATTTGAATACGTCAATCAATCCTAATTTATGTCATATACTAACATACCAAATCTCGTTTTTTTAACTAAAAGAATAAACAAGTTAAATGGGTGAGCCATTTTTGAGACGCACCCGGTATTATATTTTTGTAACGCTTACGACAAGACAAATAAAATAAAATAAAAAAATAATATACAGGATGTCTCATTTAAAAAACATAAGTTTTGTGATATTTACAAAACGAAAGCTTTCAGCGAAAAATTAGTTACCTCACTGGATTCTACGTGAAAAACTCTTCCAGACACAGTTTTCATCCTTTCGATAAGTAAGTTTTAATCTTGTCGATAATATTACTTTTTAAAATTCGCCCTGTATTTCAGGAACTAAGAAAGCTAGGACTAATCTGTGTATACCATATTTAGTTTTATAAAAAAGAGCACAGTAATGTAAAATCCGCATCTTTGTATCTCTATTCATAAACGCAAAAATAGCATACCCTGTACATTTAAAATTTTAATTTAACGGTTCAGTATTACCTAAGCATAATTTTAATAATATTACAAAGAATCGTTTAAAACTTTGCTTAAGACAACGAAAATACAGTTTCGTGCTAAACAACAAATACCACTTAAAAGTTGCGGTATAATTAAATTTTTCGTTGAAGTTTTAGGTTGTTGTTTGTTTTCCTTATACTATAAGTAAAATAATTTAAACAAGATAATCTGGAAAATAGTTTAACGGAAATATTACAAGAAGAAGACTTTGAAGAGATATGCAAATTTTTCAGAGAATAACAAACAAATTTATACATGATTTTGTTTAATGTAAGTATTAAAAAAAAATTAAAAATATTTTATTAACAATATAAAAAATAATAAGTTAATGTTAAGTACTATTTGGAATATCTTTTAACGTTTTCTTGTGAAATTAATTACAATTAGTAATTATGATTACTAATAAATACCGCATATTCGAAAAAAAAACTATGTCAAAGACGGCTGGGAATAACAATCGATGATAATTTTGGCAGAAGTCATTCACTAAAAATTGACACAAAACATGTCAAAAATTAACACTAATTTTAGAAAGATTAAAAAAGGTTGGAACGTTTCCAGACCCACAAATCAATTTCCAGAAAAATATTTTTTCTCGAATTTTAAACTCTACGCCATTTAAAATAATTTTTACTTAATATAAATAAAAAATACAACCTCGTTAAGGCTTCCTGGCAGTAGGCGCTATTAAAAAATCGCATCGAAAAGTACGGGCCAAGTAATGGCGTCTAGGGCTTGACCTCGTCAAAATTATCATCGATTGCCATTCCCCAGCCGTCTCTGACGCCGTTTTTTTTCGATCGTAGGGTATTTTCAATTATATTTATTTAATATCCAATTGAATTAATAGAATTAAATATTTTTCATTTTCTGGCCTAGGTTAGTCTGAAAACTTAACTACGTCATGGGTAAGGATTCTTCTAATTTATAGGTACATAATATACCAGATGCGTCTCAAAAGTGGCTCACCCCTATAACTTTTTTATTTTTTTTAGTTAAAAAACGATATTAGGATTGATTGACGAATTCAGTTGTTGTCGGTCACTTCCGGTTTCACCGGAAATGACTACAACTTTTGATTTTTAAATGGCACCCCCGGTATTTTTTTACCTTATTTGATAGAGAATGTCACTCTGAATAGAATGACATATCATATGTCAACTTTTGACATTTTCGCATATGGTTTATTTGAAATTATAACTGGCGGTTCGTAACGAAAATTTGACTTGAAATACGAAGTGTGGCATCAAATTATTCGTAAAAAAATACTTTTTCCAAATATTTTAATGACCCACTCTCGTTCCATTTGAAAAAATTGAGATATAATTAAAAATACGATTTAAGCATTTTCTAACTGGCCAGGACAAGACAGTAAAAACATTAGACCATCAAATCTATTTTTCCAAGGCTCTTTGATTAAGAATTAGTGTTTTTAACATAGCCATGACACTCTAGATTGAATTTTAAAATACAATTTTTTATTAAGCGAGAATGTCAAAAGTTGACATATGATATGTCATTCTATTCAAAATGTCATTTGCTATCGAATAAAGTGAAAAAATTCCCAGGGTGCCGTTTAAAAATCAAAAGTTGTAGTCATTTCCGGTGAAACAGGAAGTGACCAAAAACAATTGAATATACCGATCAATCCTAATCTATGTCATTTACTAACATAACCAAATCTCGTTTAATTATCTGAAAAAAATAAAAAAGTTATAGGGATGAGCCACTTTTGAGACGCACCCGGTATATAATCACAAAACAATTCTTCAATTACTTACTACCAAAAAGAACAGTCAACCCTCTCTAGAAACACACCGAACATCCACATTACTTACCACAAAAAAAAATAAAAATAAATAAAACAAAGTAAAAATAAAATAGAAAAAAATATATATTTATAATAACAATCAGCCAGTTTACATGCAATAAATGTGACCTAACCGTGTATTAAAAAGAAATTTTGAAACGTTTATTTTGTGTTTGTGTTTTTATTATT